TCTCTCTCTCTCTCTCTCTCTCTTGGTGTATCCTTCCATTACTAAAATAATATTAAGCGTTACAATATGCTTGTGTTTCCGGTGTCGCGGTTTGGAGCGGAACAGGCGCCACCGATGCGAATCCGACTACTTATTAGAGAAGCGAGCGCGCTGCAATTAGCGCGCTGGTTTACCTACATTGACCGCCTGTTGCGTTCCAGAATGTATATTTCAAACGGGAAATGTTTAAAGCTTCGAGAATAATCTTTAACGATGACGGCCATTCCACGGAATTCCATTGTTAATTTTAAACACCCGAGATATGACGCATACCGGCTGTCAATTAATACTTGGCGTTGTCTGTTCCCTTTGAATAATTATACGATACGTCTATGTGTGTTTATTGGAGACGCCTCTACAGAATACATTTAATTAACGTTAATGCATATACGACGCCTAGTATCGTTACAGTAGCGCATCTATAACGTCGTACTTCGAAATATATATGCAGAGAGCTAAATGAGAGCTTTCAGGTTCATAATGCAACACGGAAGCATCGCGTTGAAATGGGAAGATGTAATTGCAACGGAGAGGGTATAAATGTAACAGGGAGAGATTTTAATGTTGTTTTCATTCTCTTGAGAGATCAGTGTAATATATTCCGTATACACAATGCGTAATTCTTTTTTATTGCACGCGGCACTCTGTTTTCTAGATGTTTGTTTATTCTAGATTGTTTGTTTAAAAAATTCATTTTATTCTATATTCCTTTTCTTTTTCAGCGCTTAAATTTTAATTAAATTTGTGCATAATCATTCTGTATAATTTTCTCAAAAAAGATCAGGTGAAAAACTGTCTGTTGATTAAAGAGACTCAATTCAATATGCGAGAAAGATGAATCGTCTTCATTATGAAAATAATGGTGCAAAATTTAATTTACATTCCTAATTCCGCAAATTGCGGGAGCCATTTCGTTCTAATTAAAAACGTATGAAAACGTAATCATCCGCGGTTTTGATTCTTCAGTTGAAAATTTTTCTAATCGACTGAAAAAATTATTTTACATTTCCGACGATAACGAAAGAAAAAAATAATAATAATAAACCGTCACTCATTGTTTGCGCGCAAGACTAACGATTTATAAACGAACTGCAAAATGTACCACGACGCCATTTGCGTGCATAAAAAAAGAAAAAAAAACGATCCGCGTCTATTTCCGAGTTAATGTATGACGGGCGCGGAGTGGAGGAAAATTTTTGCGATCATATATAATATTCTGGCATTAAAATGGCAACTTTTTTGCCGCGCGCGCGCGCGCGGACGCGACCGTGGATTTAGATTCATGTTCCATTGACTCGATGCTTCCAGCTCCTCTTTAATTCTTAATGCATTCTATTTCGCGCGTCAATCTCCGTGCAATTCGCATGGCACATCAGACTCGCCGGAGATCGGTGAGCGGCAAAAAGTAAGCACGACTCGGAGCAGCCGATGAAATACGCTCCGCCGCGCTCTATCGATGAATATTTCCTCGGGCGCATTAAAAGCGGTTTAATCCCGGCGAGCTTAACTTTCGAAGCCACAGGTACACGATGATCGCCTCAGCGATCGTCTCATGCACTTCTTATAACAAGCATAAAAGAAAAGTTTAACTCTCAACTGCTAAACATTAAATATGATTGACATAATTTATATTAGCAGATTGGAATGCTCACAACCTTTCACTTTTCACTTGTTTTAATTCAATTTTATCAACGACCTTATTTTATTTTATTTATTTTTCTCTCATGATAAGTGGAGAAGTGATAAATTATAAACGCGCTGAGAAAGTTATATAAGAGGAGCACGTAGCCCTCTTGAAACACCTTATGAAATATCCGCGATAGAGTTGATGTTGCGGTAATTGCGAGTTAGTACTGCACAGTTTACGGGTTTTCCACTTAAATTACGCTGAAACGCCGGAATCTTCCCGATAAATTTCCCAGCGGTCTAAATAATTTAAAGAGACGCCTTTAAGGAATGCAGTTCCTTTGATCTCGCTTGAACGCATACAGAATGCAAACGCAATTCACGGTCTCATAATATCGCGACGCAAAGACGATGATGCATCAAATCAAACGTGCAGCAAAACTAACAAATGTCGCCGCAACGAATCTGTCTGAAATTGCGTTGGAAATTAGAATTTCCGCTGGGAAAAAGAAAAGAGCGCGCCGAGACGTTATATATGCTCATCGCACACGAAGAGGACACTCCCGTCCTGTTTCCGCGGATCTCTCCGTCCGATCGATTTATTTCTAACAGATCTTCCTTTTCGTTCAACGACACTCCCAGCAGCTTGATTTGAAAAAGCAGATCACCGCCTCTGAATCACTTCGTGCCGCTTAAGAAGCTCAGCCCCTCCCCCTCCCCACCTCAATTATCTCTTTTAAATATATATGGCACACTTCTTTGAGCACGATATACCGAAGACTTCTATGCACTGGAGTTTTTATAATGCCAGCCAGCTTGAATCGTGTACTAGCGATTTACGCGCGTGAGAAGTCACTGCTATTGGTGCAACGAGGTAGGCCAACTGCTGTTCCGTGTTCGTTTGACCGTCGCGTCGTCTTTCGCACCGTTGCCTCACGATATTATTTCGTGCTGTTTGTGTTATCGTTTTACACTTGTGTTTCACTTGTTATCTCGCTGTCACCAGTACAGAGTGAATTTTTCTTTCGTCGTACGTTTTATACGACTATATACGCTTGTGTTTCCAAAGATCTCAATGTCGCACTTTTACTGAAACGCGAACAAGAGTCACAGTTTGTACGCGGAAGGATGAACTGGCGTCGTCGGATCTGATCAGCTTTGAGCATCGCACCTCCTCGCACTAATGGCAAGTCAGAAAAATTACCACCGTTCGGCATTAAGACGACCGACGCCTCGCACAGTTGCATATCAAATGCTTTTCATCACCGATTACCAAAGACGCTTAGCCTAACCGAAATGCTTTCAAGTAGAGCAGCGCGTCGTATCGCGCAGAGAAAAAAATTTGCGTCAGAGTAAAGTGAAGCGAATGAAGTGTTGGCGAGAGAAACACTGGCCGCCGAGCGTTTCTTTCGCGCGAAAGAATTTTTTTGTCGCTTCCGCGATACGACAGCGCGACTCACGCTGTCAAACTGGCGATGCGAAAATTCGGACGAAAGCGTGCTCCAAAAATATTTTTGGAACGGAAAACAAGGAATATGTAAATAGGGTAGCATCGCTAATGCAATGTGTGGCCACAGTCCGCGAGAAAAGTTCAGAGGTCACGGAATATTTTATTTTTCAGCGAATCCCTTAAAGTTCACATTTTTTTTAATTCAACGTACTTTTTTTTACTGAAAAATATATTAATATAATTCGACATTTGAATAAAACATCGCACATTGTTTATTTTCCGCTTTAATTGGGAAGAGCTATTAAGAGAAATTGAATAAATGGAACAAATGGGCAAATGGAATTCGCGAATCAACAGTTGCCGATTAAAATCTGCATCTGTTATCATTTTTTAAAATAATTGTATAGATAAATACTTATATACTTTTTAAGAGTTTTACAACGACTGTCATTCGCGAATCAGTGATGAAAATATCGCGAAATTATCATGTGCCATTTATCTGAAATTCTAATTCCCTACTTGATCCCTACTTGATCGTGCATAAAAAATGTACAAGTACATTCGCAAGGTAAAATTAATGTTTCCGTTTCATCGATTTTATGGGCCATTTTGTCCGAGCCGAATCGCCACCGAATTTGACTAGCGTTTATCATTAGCGTGTCCGAATAATACGATGAACTTTGACGTGTAAGTATTTCCATCGTAGTTGCGAGCATCAACCCCTGAGTCTCCGCGAAGACGACATGACAGTGATGTGAGATACCTTACGAGACTAGTGAGAATCTAAAGGAGCGCATTTTGTATATACGCCGTTTAATATACATGCTAGCACCTACCTCGAGTTTTGCGAGGTTTAAATTCTTTCCCCCCAAGTCGGTATAGATGAAATACGCGTAGCAATGTAGATTGCAAGATCTGGAGACGTGCTCTGGTCCCAGTTGTTTGCGAGAAGTAGAACGTAAATAAGAAAGGGGCAGTGGGATGAAGGTGCTTACATTACGAGATCTGTTCTGTCGTTGTGCCGCGGTAAACCGCATTTCTTTTCCCCGGATAAAAAGCGCGACATTTTCATTTTTGTAATCATCATCACGTCGTGCTGGTTGCCCCTGAAGTTCCGCGCTTCCCTTGAAAGCCTAAAAATTCTATGGTTTACTTTTCAAGAGGTATTAGAAATTACTGTCAAAATAGAAATGAATATTTGACGTAGCAAGATTTAAAATATAATTTATCTCATTGAGATGAAAAATGAGCGATTTTTTCAGTTCAACAGAAATTTAACTCAATGTTTGATATAAATACGTTCTTCTTGTGGAATTAAGTATTTTAAAAAGTCAAGATCACAGTAAAGTTTAGATTACAAATGTTTCAGTTTTGTTATGAGATCAATTTTGTTTTAAGCAACAATTAATTTTTAATTAATACGTCTTCCCTTTTGGGGCGAATTGAAGGAATTCAATGTTTCGTGCAAAGTTCATTTGGTTAGTGTGAAAAAATTTCAAACAGATAAAATCATTCCTCTATCTATGAGCTCTGTCCTAGTAATTCACAAAGAGATTTACGAGCAAGAGGAATCGCGGTACCTCCGGGGCGCATCCTGTAGTTCACTCTCGTCTCTGCAATTTTGCTCACGACACGGCACCCTCATTCGCTCGCCCCCGTCGGCCTCTCAACTTTTCTTATCACGTAGATCCCACGTGCATTAAAACGTCACGCTTCTACCGAGAGGCCGCGCTCGACTGCAATTATCACCGCCGTTGATCGCGCTTTCTCTCTCTCTTTTTCTCTCTCTTTCTCTCTCTCTTTCTCTCTCTCTCTCTCTCTCTCTCTCTTTCCCTTCATCTACTCCCATGCCGATAACGTGATCAGAAACGACTGAAATTTCCAGCATCTGCACTGGTCGAGCCATCACGTGGACTCCTTAGACAGCGGCGGAGCTTTAGGCTGGCCGAGAACCTCGAGGCCGCGCGTCAACAGTGCCATCGACGTGGCCGGCTTCCTATCGCAGGTAAGTAATCGTGTGCCGGGAAAAATCCACGCAGAGAGCGAGAGATCGATGGATTACGCGAGGTGGACAGCCGCGTCCTCGAACCCGCCCCGATCGATCGGCCGGCCGCCCGGCGCGATTTCGCCGCGACCTTCCGCGGAGGAGTGGACGCGCAAAGACGCCCGCGCGGACGTGACCGGCCGCGTAAACGTCCGTTTTGCCATGCGGCCAAGAATTTCCGATTACAGCAATCGGGAAGATTGAAATCGGAAATCAGTGGAATCGGGCGGGCGAGTTCCAAGGATAGCGTTTAGCTTTAACTATACGCGGTACAAGTCTTTACAACGATTCTCCGTAATAACGTGTAATTCCCCTTGAATCTATGCAGCTTGACTGACACTTGCGTGCTCGAGAAGTAAAATGTGATCGAGAAGTAATTTTCGAAATTTGAAGTGGTGCAACGTACATGCTCGAACTCAAACTGATTCGTATCCTACGATACATATTTGAGATCGATTACTGAGAATGAGACATGCTAAGAAAATGTACTGCAATAAGACACTATATATAATAGTTTTTAATATTCACATCTTTAGTCAGTTATTTAAGATTTTTGAATTTAATTTAAATGGCGAGAAAGGACACGTTCATAATTTCTAAGGATCACGAGATAACTTGGGCTGGTGGAAACTTTTATCGTGCGCTATAACATGAATTTTAATAACATCATTAGAGATGTGTAGAACCATCGGGCGTCGCGTCTCTTGTCCTTGTGGAAATTGAAGATTAAGTTATACCATCAGCCTGCCGCGAGGTAGATACCGGCTGCGTTGCAAGCTCACGAGAGTCTATTCCAATTACTCTATTCCAATTACACGAAAGAAAAGCGAGTAGTCATTAGACCGGGCGAGACCGAGACAAAGGAGAAGCAAGAATTCATCAATTCCACCCCGCGTTCTCTTTTAATACATGAACGAACATTGCGCGATTGTTCGCAATAATTGATTATTTTGCCGCAACGACGAGGCTCGCGGAGCCGTTAATCGCGATCACCGAGAACAATGAAAATTGCCCGAAAAATTGAAAAACCACTCCCCCGACGCGTGGTTGAACAATCGCGCCCCGTCGACACACATCGCCCCCTTCCACTTCGCACGCATTGTTACACGATTGTTAATAGTTTCAGATCGCGCGTTTCGCCATATATTGTTAACGTAACGCAACCGAGTCGGAGGGAATAATCATATCCCCTCAGTGCGACAGTTATTTCAATAAATAATGAACACGAAAGAGTTCGTGCGAAAGAGATACCTCAAACGTCAAAGTTCAAGGTAGTCTGTGGCGAAGTGTAGTGCACCGCAGATGATCGATATGTTCGTGGATTACTTGTAAGGAAATGGACAAATTCATTTTCGCCGCATGAACGAGATGTGTGTATTACATTTCCAAATCGCGTTTCTCTCTCATTGTCTCAGTCTAAGGCACTGGATGTCTATACGTGTTATTTGTCGTAAATACACTTCGTATATTTATATACTTATTTATTTGTTATATATTAATATATCTACATAATATTCGTATTCACATTTCATATTGGGACACCCTGCCCTCGCGATTCGCACAAAACTTATACTAATGACAATTGGCTCGCAATTGGCACAATACTGGCACAGTAATGTCATTAATAATACAAGATTCTGCTTGGTGTTCTTCAAGGTCGATATTGCACACGCGATTTGCTGCATTCAGCGTATTGTTCTTTGCAATTGCACGCGGAATTGACAGACTAAATTGTCCGGATAATCAATCGTTCCCAATTTCTAACAAATTGCAAATTCACAAGACAAATGTATAAATTAATAACCACGGTGCTCTTTTCGTAATATATATATATATATA